GAGTGCTGGGATTACAGGCGTGAGCCACTGCGCTGGCCTTGTTTGTTTTTTAAGATGGGGTCTTGCTCTGTTGCTCAGGCTGGAGTACAGTGGCATGATCATAGCTCACTGCAGCCTTGAAGTCCTGGGCTCAGGCCATCTTCCCATCTCAGCTTCCTGTACTCTGGCACTACAGGTGTGCACCAGCATGCCCAGCTAATTTATTTTTATTTTTGTAGAGATGTGGGGGGTGTCTCACCATGTTGCCTATGCTGGTCTTCAACTCCTGGTCTCAAAGGATCCTCCTGCCTGGGCCTCCCAGAGTGTTGGATTATAAGCATGAGTTACTGGACCCAGCCTCTTTAAATATTCTAAAATCTAATTTTTTTTTTTTTTGAGATTGTGTCTTGCTTTGTCACCCAGGCTGGAGTACAGTGTCAATCTCAGCTCACTGCAACCTCTGCCTCCTGGGTTCAAGCGATTCTTCCACCTCAGTCTCACGAGTAGCTGGGCCTACAGGCACATGCCACCGCGCCCGGCTAGTTTTTGTATTTTTTGGTTGAGATAGGGCTTTGCCATGTTGGCCAGGCTGGTCTCAAACTCCTGACCTCAAGCGACCAACCTGTCTCGGCCTCCCAGAGTGCTTGGGATGGTAGGCATAAGCCACTGTACCTGGCCTAAAATCAAAATTTCTTTCTGTAACAACCCATCTCAGAAATGCGAGGATATTATAATTAGTAAGTACCTCAGAAATGATTTAGTCCAAGCATTTTCTAGCTTTTTGGTCATAGGACCTCAAAATGTTTTTGGTTATATGGGTTTATATCTATAGATACTAGTTTAGAAATTAAAGCTGAGAATTTAAAAAATACATTGGAGTTTTTGGGATTGCATTTTAATGAATTAAATAAGTCAATAATAGTAACAAATAACATCTTCTGAAAAATGACTTTTTCAAAACAAAATAATGAGTGGCATTGTTTTACAGTTTTGCACATCACTTCATGTCTGTTAATAGGAGATAGTGGGTTTTCATGTCTCCTTTGAATTCAGTGTATTGCAGAGTTTATTCAAAGATCTTTAGCTGGGCATGGTGGAGTGTGTAGTCCCACATACTCAGAAAGCTAATGTTGGATCACTTGAGCCTAGGATTTCAAGAGCAACCTGGGCAACATAATGAGACTTCATCTCAAAAAAAAAAAATTCTTTGAAATGTAGGAAGAAAATTTGGCCTTTTCACAGGTTTGAAGTTAGAAAAGAGGGAAGTGTTTTTGTAGCCTTTTCAGCTAGTTGTAGATGTTCATTTGTCTTTGGTACTACAGCAAAATTTGGATAAGTGATAATTTCTTAAAAATTAGTTCCAGTGATGGAATCTGAAACTATCAATGCACTTTGGAATACTCTTACATTAAGATCCATTGGTCTGTGTTGTTCTTTGGATCTTTAAAGTGACAGGCTCATTTCATTCATGTCTGAGGCACTCCCTGCCAAATACTCACATCTGAGTAACTAGTTTCTCAGTCAGTCTTTCAAGTCAAAATACGTTCTAGCTGCTTTGGTATCAGAAGTGATTGTTGCAGACTTTCTACTTACTGACACAGAATATGAAAAATTATTGGCCGGACGCAGTGGCTCACTCCTGTAATCCCAGCATTTTGGGAGGCTGAGGGGAGCAGATCATGAGGTCAGGAGTTCGAGATCAGCCTGACCAACATGGTGAAACCCCGTCTCTACTAAAATTACAAAAATTAGCCGGGCATGGTGGCACGTGCCTGTAATTTCAACTACTCAGGAGGCTGAGGTAGGAGAATCGTTTGAACCCGGGAGGCAGAGGTTGCAGTGAGCCGAGATCGCACCACTGCACTCAAGCCCGGGCGACAGAGTGAGGCTGTGTCTCAAAAAAAAAAAAAAAAAGAAAAAGAAAAATTATTTTACTCAAGGACCTACAGTTTATAAAATTAAAAATTTTTACTGCTTCATGAAGGACAGTCTTATGTGACACTGGTTTGTTTTTTTTTTTGACATAGAGTCTCACTCTGTCACCCAGGCTGAAGTGCAGTGGCACAATCTCAGTTCAGTGCAACCTCCTCCTTTCAGGTTCAAGCAATTCTGCTGCCTCAGCTTCCCGAGTAGCTGGGATTGCAGGTACCCGCCACCGCACTGGGCTAATTTTTATAATTTTAGCAGAGATGGGGGTTTCACCGTGTTGGTCAGGCTGGTCTTGAACTTTTGACTTCAAGTGATCCACCCTCCTGGGCCTCCCAAAGTGCCGGGATTACAGGTGTGAGCCACCCAGCCCAGCCGACATTGGCTTTTTAAAATCCTTTTTTGGTTTTTTATTGTGAGGATGTTGCGGTGAGCAATATGGTGATTACTAGTGCTGTCTGGCATTATTGCCTTGGTTTATGCTAAGGTGCGGCAGTTTCTCTCCAGTGCAATAGGGAACAAAGTCGAAAGGACATCACATTTTAATGTGGTGCAAATAATTTTGACCTTGCAGACCCCCTTGGAGGAAGGCTCTGGAGGCCTCTCCTTCTACCCGAGTTCCGTGGACCACAGTTGGAGGGCTGTGATCTGGTCCATCTCCCATCCTGTTGAAGAACCCCTTCTGTATCTTTGAGAAATTACCTTCCCGTTTCCCTCAGGGATGTCTATTGTGGGGGAAATTCACTACACCGTGAAGCAGCCCATTACGTTTTTGAAAGTTCTGTAAACTAACTCAGATCTTTTTTCCACCGCTGGCCCTTCATAAAGTTGAGGATAACTTTTCACAGATCCCCTGTGTCTCTCTTTTTCAGCATAAATTTGTATTTCCATTTCCTTCAGTGATTCCTCTCATGGCCTGGTTTCGTATATCCTGCTCATCTTTCTTTAAAATGAAAATGAATGGACATTATTTAATTCATTACAAAAGATACTGACAAAATAACCATGGGTTCTTTTCACTGTTAGACCCTGTATAAATATGTGTAAGACTTGGTTCTTATCCTAAAGGAATTTAAAAAACTGGATTCATTTCAACACAGCTGAAGAATATAAACATCCTGCAGAATCATACATGGCATTTTGCAGTTAGAAAGAACCTAGCTCTCGGCTGAGTGCGGTGGTTCATGCCCGTAATCTCAGCACTTTGGGAGGTGGAGGCGGGCAAATCACTTGAGGTCGGGATTTCAAGACCAGCATGGCCAACATGGCAAAACCCCATCTCTACTAAAAATACAAAAACCATCTGGGCATGGTGGCACGTGCCTGTAATCCTAGCTGAGGGAGGCTGAGGCAGGAGAATCCCTTGCACCCAGGAGGTAGAGGTTGCAGTGAGCCAAGATCGCGCCACTGCCCTCCAGCCTGGGCAATGGAGTGAGACTCCATCTCAAAAAAATAAAAAAATAAATAAAAATAGAACTTAACTCGTTTTGTGGTTCTACAGACTGGCCACTGAGGTACTCTGAGAGCTGCTCAGCTGTTTTGTCGTGAATGGGTTGTAGGTGAGATGCGATCTCCCTTCCATAAGCTCCTGGGGTTGCTAGGTGGGGCTTGGGATAGTCTCCTCCTGATTTTAGACTGGTGGATATTCCCAGGCCAATCAGCTCTGACCTTGAACATTATCTTCAGTTTACCCCAGTGTGTTGTACAAAGATCGTTTTCTATGTGTGCCTATGAAGAAGCTGACAAGTATTGGGATAAGTGGCCTCTCTAGGGCAACAAATTCTTTGTTTTTTTTTTTTTTTTGAGATGGACTCTCGCTCTGTTGCCCGGGCTGGAGTGCAGTGGCACGATCTCGGCTCACTGCAAGCTCCGCCTCCCGGGTTCACGCCATTCTGCTGTAGCGCAACAAATTCTTAAGCACAGAGTTGGGGTTATAGGTTTTCTGAGTACCAGACTAGAAAGATAATAAAGTTGGCAAGACATTGTGATTTGATTGAAGTAGGTTAATGAAGGACACTTTTTTTCATTTTAAAAATCAAGATGTGATTTATAATTACCTTTTTAGTATACAGTTCTACAGTTTTTGATAACACATATAGTGTTGTAACTATTCCAAGATATAGAACATCACTCCCTAGATTCTCTTTACCCCTTGTTAGCCCTTCTTGCTTCCCTCAGCCCTAGGCAACCACTGATCAGTAGGAAATTATTTTTGAAGAGTATTGTAAAATGTTTCCTTAGATGGAGTTAGACTTAATTTCTCCCATCCAAGTAGTAACCAGGCCTTACCCCACTTAACTTCCTATATCAGATGAGATCACATGCTTTCAGGGTGGTATGGCCCTAGATGGTAGGCATAATTTCTAATTGATTGGATATTGAATTCTGCCAAACAAAAAGATTATAATCAGAATGTATTTCTTCTAAATGTCTGCTTTTAAACTTACTGCCCCACTTTCTTACTTAATTCACTTAGTCACTAGCGTTTGGGCATTCTAATGATACATGTTTGAGGTGATAGGTTAATTGCCCTGAATTGATCATTACATGTTGAATATATGTTGAAATATCACACAGTACTCCCTTAATATGTACAATGATTATGTGTCAATTAAAAATAATAAAAGCAAAAAAAAAATACTAGTTATTTCTTTTCTTTTCTTTTTTGAGACGGAGTTTTGCTCTTGTTGTCCAGGCTGGAGTGCAATGGTGCGACCTCTGCTCACCGCAACCTCCACCTCCCGAGTTCAAGCAATTCTTGTGCCTCAGCCTCCTGAGTAGCTGGGATTACAGGCATGTGCCACCACGCCCAACTAATTTTGTATTTTTAGTAGAGATGGACTTTCTCCATGTTGGTCAGGCTGGTCTCAAACTCCTGACCTCAGGTGATCTGCCTGCCTCGGCCTCCCAAAGTGTTGGGATTACAGGTGTGAGCCACCGCGCCCGGCTATACTAGTTATTTCTGAATGCATTTGAAGTAAAAGTTGGTCTTGAGCATTGCCGGTGTTTTGGAAGTGTTTGTGAAGAGGCTTTGGGAAACAGAAAGCCCTAGCAGATTCCACAGGGACTGACCCATTCCTGCTGTCTTACTGCAGATCTGGAGCAGCAACCATTTGTTCCCCAGTGCAGAGAAAGCGACTCTTTTCCTCGGAACACTGGATACCATTTTCCTCTTCTCCTATGCTGTGGTAAGTTTTAGAACTCTAGGGTTTAAAGGTAAAGAAAAATGTAAAAGGAAACAACGCTGAGTCTTACGAAATGTGTACAGGATTTTGAATTTGCTGACCGAGGCAGAGTTCAGTATTTCTGAAGTTTATATTTTTTATTCTTCCCATTCATTTATTAATTCATTCAACAGATATTTATTGCTCATGTAGCACATGTCAATGGGAATTTATCCTGAACAACGCGAAAATGCCCTGCCTTGATGGAGCCTGTGTTCTTCGGCGCGGAGCTTGGGGAGACAGTCACCAAATGCTATAAATAAATTGTAGAGTACATATGAAGGTGATAAGTGCAATGAAGGAAAATAAAGCAGAGAAGGGGGACTAAAGGGGCCTGAGTGAGGTTGTAATTTTAAGTAGCATAGCTGGGAGACTTCAGGAGGCAGCGGGCATTTGAGTGAAGACCCAAGCAGGTGAGTGAGGTCGGTGTGCTTGGATCAGAGCTGTAAGAAGTGAGGCCAGAGATGTGGCGGGGTTCAGATCTGTAGGGTTTTGATGCCTTTGTAGGGGCTTTGGCTTTAACCTTGAGTGCGATGGGAGCTGCTGGAAGGTTTTGTGCAGAGCAGCAGCAGGACCTGACTTAGGTTTGGACAGGCGCACTTGCTCTGGGAGCTGAGTTCTTTGGAGGTGAAGGATGATGGTGGCTTGGGTCCAGCATAGCAGTAACAGAGGTTGCGGGAAAGTAGATTTTAGTAGTGTGTTGGAGGTAAAGCCAATATTTTTTCCCTCTTGAATGTGGAATGTAAGAGAAATGTGTGAAGAACACCTCCAGGGTGGAAGTGTCATGGCGGAGGGGAAACTGGGGAGATAGAAAGATTTGAGGACTCGCTTTTGGATGCATTACATTTGACCACTACTGCCCAGATGATGAAGAGCACGTGCTTGGGCATTGAGTCGGAGTTCAAGGTGTAGGTTCAGGCTGAAGATACACATCCTTGGCCTTTACTATTTTTATAATTTTTTATTTTTGAGACAGAGTTTGCTCTTGTCACCCAGGCTGGAGTGCAATGGCACGATCTCGGCTCACTGCAACCTCCGCCTCCCGGGTTCAAGCAGTTCTCCTGCCTCAGCCTCCCGAGTAGCTGGAATTACAGGCATGCACCACCACGCCCGGCTAATTTTGTATTTTTTTAGTAGAGATGTTGGTCAGGCTGATCTCGAACTTCTGACCTCAGGCGATCTGCCTGCCTTGGCCTCCCAAGTGCTGGGATTACAGGCATGAGCCACTGTGCCTTCCCTTTTAGATGATTTATAGATCAAAACTGTGAAGCTGCATGAATTGATCAAGGGAACAGGCGAGGGCAGGGAAGAGGTGTGAAGCCTGAGCCCTAGGGCTTCCACTCCTCAGAGGTGGGTGAGGAATGGGCCAGGTGGCGGGGATGGAGTGGTAAGGAAGGTGGGGCTAGGTGTGGTGGCTCACGCCTGTAATCCTAGCACTTTGGGAAGCCGAGGCGGGTAGATAACTTGGAGTCAGGAGTTTGAGACCATCCTGGCCAACATGAAGAAACCCCGTTTCCAATAAAAATACAAAAAGTAGCCAGATGTGGGTGCCTGTAGTCCCAGCTACTTGGAAGGCTGAGGCAGGAGAATTACTTGAACCCAGGAGGAGGAGGTTGCAGTGAGCCAAGATTGTGCCACTGCACTCCAGCCTGGATGGCAAAATGAGATTCCGTCTCAAAAAAAAAAAAAAGGAAGGCAGGATCCTGGAGAGGTAGCATCCTGGGAGACATTCCACGGTGGTGAGGAGTAATTCAGCATAAGGATAGGCAGCTGGCATCTCTGGCTTGCTGTAGGAACGGCTGTGGTGACTCCCACATTAGAGTTCTGGAGCCGACAGTGGCAGCAGCTGGAACGTGGACTGTGAGAGGAGCCTTCCTTTTCTCCCCAGCATATAAGATGCTGTCTTTAAGTGTGCCTTATTAAAAACGCCTTTTAATTCTCAATGTTCAGGCCATGTGAAATACTGGGTAAAAGTCCTGAAGTAGTTTCTAAATGTTTATTTGGTTAATTATATTTATTTATTTATTTTATTTATTATTTCTTTTTTGAGATGCAGACTTGCTCTGTCGCCCAGACTGGAGTGCAGTGGGGCAATCTCAGCTCACTGTAGCCTCTGCCTCCCAGGTTCCAGCAATTCTCTTGCCTCAGCCTTCTGGGTAATTGGGATTACAAGTGCACGCCACCATGCCCGGCTAATGTTTGTATTTTAGGTAGAGAACGGGTTTCACCATGTTGGCCAGGCTGGTCTCGAACTCCTGTCCTCAGCTGATCCGCCCACCTCTGCCTTCCAAAGGGATTACAGGCATGAGCTACCACACCTGGCCTGTGTGTGTGTGTGTGTGTGTGTGTGTGTGTGTGTGTGTGTATATTTTTTTTTTTTTTTGAGAGACGGAGTCTTGCTCTGTTGCCCA